GGGCCGGAGGAAAGCATTGTTGGGTTGGTTACCTCCCTCCGTTTTCCCTCCCACCCACCCCTTGCATGCATCCCGTTTCGGTACAGTGCCACGTTAGCAGTGCAGATCAGCTGTGCCACGTCAGCAGTGCCACGTCACAGTGCCAAGTCACAGTACCACGTCAGCAGTGCCACGTCACAGTGCCAGATCAGCAGTGCCACGTCCGCAGTGCCAGATCAGCAGTGCCACGTCCGCAGTGCCAGATCAGCAGTGCCACGTCCGCAGTGCCAGATCAACAGTGTCACGTCCGCAGTGCCAGGTCACATTGCCACGTCAGACATAGTGCCACGTAAGCAGTGCCACGTCAGACAGTGCCACGTCAGCAGTGACATTCAACAAAGTGCCACGTCAGCAGCACCACGTCAGACGCAGTGCCACATCAGCAGTGACACGTAAGCAGCATTGCCACGTCAGCAACATGACGGGCCTGCCAGGCCAACTAGCCAATAAGACCATTGCCGCCTACAAGCAGCGGTTCCACGCTCAGATTGAGGCTGAGGAACAACGCCTGCTGGCAGTCGAGGCTGCCCACATACAAGCTGAAGAGGCAGMAGCAGCAGAGAAACTGCGGCTACAGGCCGATGCAGAAGCAGATGCCCAGGCTCGCCGAAAGGAAGCCCAGGATCTGCTGCAGCGGCATGAAGCCAACAACATCGACAGACTCAAGTACAGGCATTTTCAACCAAATGGCGACGACGCAACACCGAAAGAAAAGCACAAGGAGTTCCTCTCCAAACTCGTGAAGCGGTTGTTGTATGCTTGCAACTACCAAAGGTCAGAGTTGGAGAGACAACACCGGGACCTGACGCAACAGCATCAGGAATTGGCGACGCTCCGCCGCACGGTGCAGAGCCACGAGGACGCAACTCGGGCACTCAATGCCCAATTGTTGGACCTGGAACAGGCTGTACCAGGACCAGCTGCTGGAGCTTCCAGCAGTGCACCCTCAAGCCGCCAACTGGAGGGCCGCGTTGACCACGTAGTGGCAATGCTCGGCGACAT